CTCATGAGAAAAATCGACTCATTGCTAACAGGAGTGGAAGTGACGAGCAAGACCGTGTGTAATGAGTCATTACTCATGAGAAAAATCGACTCATTGCTTAGAGGAGTGGAAGTGACGAGCAAGACCGTGTGTAATGAGTCATTACTCATGAGAAAATCGACTCATTGCTTACAGGAGTGGAAGTGACGAGCAAGACCGTGTGTAATGAGTCATTACTCATGAGAAAAATCGACTCATTGCTTAGAGGAGTGGAAGTGACGAGCAAGACCGTGTGTAATGAGTCATTACTCATGAGAAAAATCGACTCATTGCTTAGAGGAGTGGAAGTGACGAGCAAGACCGTGTGTAATGAGTCATTACTCATGAGAAAAATCGACTCATTGCTTACAGGAGTGGAAGTGACGAGCAAGACCGTGTGTAATGAGTCATTACTCATGAGAAAAATCGACTCATTGCTTACAGGAGTGGAAGTGACGAGCAAGACCGTGTGTAATGAGTCATTACTCATGAGAAAAATCGACTCATTGCTTAGAGGAGTGGAAGTGACGAGCAAGACCGTGTGTAATGAGTCATTACTCATGAGAAAAATCGACTCATTGCTAACAGGAGTGGAAGTGACGAGCAAGACCGTGTGTAATGAGTCATTACTCATGAGAAAAATCGACTCATTGCTTAGAGGAGTGGAAGTGACGAGCAAGACCGTGTGTAATGAGTCATTACTCATGAGAAAAATCGACTCATTGCTTACAGGAGTGGAAGTGACGAGCAAGACCGTGTGTAATGAGTCATTACTCATGAGAAAAATCGACTCATTGCTTACAGGAGTGGAAGTGACGAGCAAGACCGTGTGTAATGAGTCATTACTCATGAGAAAAATCGACTCATTGCTTACAGGAGTGGAAGTGACGAGCAAGACCGTGTGTAATGAGTCATTACTCATGAGAAAAATCGACTCATTGCTTACAGGAGTGGAAGTGACGAGCAAGACCGTGTGTAATGAGTCATTACTCATGAGAAAAATCGACTCATTGCTTAGAGGAGTGGAAGTGACGAGCAAGACCGTGTGTAATGAGTCATTACTCATGAGAAAAATCGACTCATTGCTTACAGGAGTGGAAGTGACGAGCAAGACCGTGTGTAATGAGTCATTACTCATGAGAAAAATCGACTCATTGCTTAGAGGAGTGGAAGTGACGAGCAAGACCGTGTGTAATGAGTCATTACTCATGAGAAAAATCGACTCATTGCTTACAGGAGTGGAAGTGACGAGCAAGACCGTGTGTAATGAGTCATTACTCATGAGAAAAATCGACTCATTGCTTAGAGGAGTGGAAGTGACGAGCAAGACCGTGTGTAATGAGTCATTACTCATGAGAAAAATCGACTCATTGCTTAGAGGAGTGGAAGTGACGAGCAAGACCGTGTGTAATGAGTCATTACTCATGAGAAAAATCGACTCATTGCTTAGAGGAGTGGAAGTGACGAGCAAGACCGTGTGTAATGAGTCATTACTCATGAGAAAAATCGACTCATTGCTTACAGGAGTGGAAGTGACGAGCAAGACCGTGTGTAATGAGTCATTACTCATGAGAAAAATCGACTCATTGCTTAGAGGAGTGGAAGTGACGAGCAAGACCGTGTGTAATGAGTCATTACTCATGAGAAAAATCGACTCATTGCTTAGAGGAGTGGAAGTGACGAGCAAGACCGTGTGTAATGAGTCATTACTCATGAGAAAAATCGACTCATTGCTTACAGGAGTGGAAGTGACGAGCAAGACCGTGTGTAATGAGTCATTACTCATGAGAAAAATCGACTCATTGCTAACAGGAGTGGAAGTGACGAGCAAGACCGTGTGTAATGAGTCATTACTCATGAGAAAAATCGACTCATTGCTTAGAGGAGTGGAAGTGACGAGCAAGACCGTGTGTAATGAGTCATTACTCATGAGAAAAATCGACTCATTGCTTACAGGAGTGGAAGTGACGAGACGAGCAAGACCGTGTGTAATGAGTCATTACTCATGAGAAAAATCGACTCATTGCTTACAGGAGTGGAAGTGACGAGCAAGACCGTGTGTAATGAGTCATTACTCATGAGAAAAATCGACTCATTGCTTACAGGAGTGGAAGTGACGAGCAAGACCGTGTGTAATGAGTCATTACTCATGAGAAAAATCGACTCATTGCTTACAGGAGTGGAAGTGACGAGCAAGACCGTGTGTAATGAGTCATTACTCATGAGAAAAATCGACTCATTGCTTACAGGAGTGGAAGTGACGAGCAAGACCGTGTGTAATGAGTCATTACTCATGAGAAAAATCGACTCATTGCTTAGAGGAGTGGAAGTGACGAGCAAGACCGTGTGTAATGAGTCATTACTCATGAGAGAAATCGACTCATTGCTTACAGGAGTGGAAGTGACGAGCAAGACCGTGTGTAATGAGTCATTACTCATGAGAAAAATCGACTCATTGCTTAGAGGAGTGGAAGTGACGAGCAAGACCGTGTGTAATGAGTCTTTACTCATGAGAAAAATCGACTCATTGCTAACAGGAGTGGAAGTGACGAGCAAGACCGTGTGTAATGAGTCATTACTCATGAGAAAAATCGACTCATTGCTTAGAGGAGTGGAAGTGACGAGCAAGACCGTGTGTAATGAGTCATTACTCATGAGAGAAATCGACTCATTGCTTACAGGAGTGGAAGTGACGAGCAAGACCGTGTGTAATGAGTCATTACTCATGAGAAAAATCGACTCATTGCTTAGAGGAGTGGAAGTGACGAGCAAGACCGTGTGTAATGAGTCATTACTCATGAGAAAAATCGACTCATTGCTTAGAGGAGTGGAAGTGACGAGCAAGACCGTGTGTAATGAGTCATTCCTCATGAGAAAAATCGACTCATTGCTTACAGGAGTGGAAGTGACGAGCAAGACCGTGTGTAATGAGTCATTACTCATGAGAAAAATCGACTCATTGCTAACAGGAGTGGAAGTGACGAGCAAGACCGTGTGTAATGAGTCATTACTCATGAGAAAAATCGACTCATTGCTTAGAGGAGTGGAAGTGACGAGCAAGACCGTGTGTAATGAGTCTTTACTCATGAGAAAAATCGACTCATTGCTAACAGGAGTGGAAGTGACGAGCAAGACCGTGTGTAATGAGTCATTACTCATGAGAAAAATCGACTCATTGCTTAGAGGAGTGGAAGTGACGAGCAAGACCGTGTGTAATGAGTCATTACTCATGAGAAAAATCGACTCATTGCTTACAGGAGTGGAAGTGACGAGCAAGACCGTGTGTAATGAGTCATTACTCATGAGAAAAATCGACTCATTGCTTACAGGAGTGGAAGTGACGAGCAAGACCGTGTGTAATGAGTCATTACTCATGAGAAAAATCGACTCATTGCTTACAGGAGTGGAAGTGACGAGCAAGACCGTGTGTAATGAGTCATTACTCATGAGAAAAATCGACTCATTGCTTACAGGAGTGGAAGTGACGAGCAAGACCGTGTGTAATGAGTCATTACTCATGAGAAAAATCGACTCATTGCTTAGAGGAGTGGAAGTGACGAGCAAGACCGTGTGTAATGAGTCTTACTCATGAGAAAAATCGACTCATTGCTAACAGGAGTGGAAGTGACGAGCAAGACCGTGTGTAATGAGTCATTACTCATGAGAAAAATCGACTCATTGCTTAGAGGAGTGGAAGTGACGAGCAAGACCGTGTGTAATGAGTCATTACTCATGAGAGAAATCGACTCATTGCTTACAGGAGTGGAAGTGACGAGCAAGACCGTGTGTAATGAGTCATTACTCATGAGAAAAATCGACTCATTGCTTAGAGGAGTGGAAGTGACGAGCAAGACCGTGTGTAATGAGTCATTACTCATGAGAAAAATCGACTCATTGCTTAGAGGAGTGGAAGTGACGAGCAAGACCGTGTGTAATGAGTCATTACTCATGAGAAAAATCGACTCATTGCTTACAGGAGTGGAAGTGACGAGCAAGACCGTGTGTAATGAGTCATTACTCATGAGAAAAATCGACTCATTGCTTACAGGAGTGGAAGTGACGAGCAAGACCGTGTGTAATGAGTCATTACTCATGAGAAAAATCGACTCATTGCTTAGAGGAGTGGAAGTGACGAGCAAGACCGTGTGTAATGAGTCATTCCTCATGAGAAAAATCGACTCATTGCTTACAGGAGTGGAAGTGACGAGCAAGACCGTGTGTAATGAGTCATTACTCATGAGAAAAATCGACTCATTGCTTACAGGAGTGGAAGTGACGAGCAAGACCGTGTGTAATGAGTCATTACTCATGAGAAAAATCGACTCATTGCTTACAGGAGTGGAAGTGACGAGCAAGACCGTGTGTAATGAGTCATTACTCATGAGAAAAATCGACTCATTGCTTACAGGAGTGGAAGTGACGAGCAAGACCGTGTGTAATGAGTCATTACTCATGAGAAAAATCGACTCATTGCTTACAGGAGTGGAAGTGACGAGCAAGACCGTGTGTAATGAGTCATTCCTCATGAGAAAAATCGACTCATTGCTTACAGGAGTGGAAGTGACGAGCAAGACCGTGTGTAATGAGTCATTACTCATGAGAAAAATCGACTCATTGCTTACAGGAGTGGAAGTGACGAGCAAGACCGTGTGTAATGAGTCATTACTCATGAGAAAAATCGACTCATTGCTTACAGGAGTGGAAGTGACGAGCAAGACCGTGTGTAATGAGTCATTACTCATGAGAAAAATCGACTCATTGCTTACAGGAGTGGAAGTGACGAGCAAGACCGTGTGTAATGAGTCATTCCTCATGAGAAAAATCGACTCATTGCTTACAGGAGTGGAAGTGACGAGCAAGACCGTGTGTAATGAGTCATTACTCATGAGAAAAATCGACTCATTGCTTACAGGAGTGGAAGTGACGAGCAAGACCGTGTGTAATGAGTCATTACTCATGAGAAAAATCGACTCATTGCTTACAGGAGTGGAAGTGACGAGCAAGAGATGAGCTGCGTCGGGGGAGAGAGTGACTGAGTGAGGGGTGGAGCGCAGAGGAATCTGTCAGGGGGAGAGTAGGAACGAGGGGGGGGAAGGGGACAGGCAGAGGGTTAGGGGAAGAAATAGAAAAAGGCAAGTTGGTCTCAGGGACACAACATTTTGGCCCCAGGGAAGCATGTGGATTCGCCAGGGGGGGGGGGGGGAGGGGGGACAAACAATCGGGGAGAAAAAGGAGGCCAGAAGAACCAGCGGTAGAGTGCATGTGAGAATGCGACAGTGGCTCAGGCGGAATGTCACCTTGAGATGAGAGCATGGCACCGGAATGTGAGAACCGATACGAGTATCCTCTTGGCACTCACCTTGTTGAGCGGCCACGCGTTGTGGACCTGGAAGAGTGGGGAGGCAGCTGGCAGATGCTGAGCGCTCCTTGGGGGGAGACGAGGAGGAAACTGCCTTTTGAGTCGACTCAACGGCCATCACCTTGTGCGTACACTCACCTTGTTGAGCGGCCACGCGTTGTCGAACTGGAAGAGGGGCGGCAGCTGGCAGATGCTGAGCGCGCCTTGGGAGGAGATGAGGAGGAAGCCGTGCGTGCAGTTGATGTTGTGGAAGGGTGCCATGGCTAAAACGCTCGAAGGCCCTTCTGTCACCTGCATTGGGAAGGGGAGAATGGAGCAAGGAGGCGGGAAGCAAGAGGAGTCTATTTGTGAGGCGGCTAAAAAACCGGCCCTCCTGTCACCTGCATTGGGAAGGGGAGAATGAAGGTGAAGGAAGGCAGGGAGTGAGAGGAAAGAGCAGATGCTGAGCGCGCCTTGGGAGGAGACGAGGAGGAAGCCGTGCGTGCAGTTGGCGTTCTGGAAGGGCGCCATGGCAACCACCCCTTGTGCTGCCTCTGCTGCCTGCCAGGGGAAGTAGAGGGGCGGGGAATGGGAGAGGAAGGTGGGAGAGAGGAGGGTGGGGAAGAGGGGGGTGAGGAGAGGGGGACAGACACCATGGGATGAAGTAGAGGGGCGGGACAGGGTGTCCACAACAGGCGGATGTGCATCCACAACCAACACAGGGGTGCAAGCTATTTTCGTCCTTTCTTTTCTTACATCCTGATTGCTTACATCACTCAGCATTGCCAAGCTGGGTCAAGTCAGGTGACCCTTGAATTTGCACAAAAAGCTACACACATGGCAAAACGCACACATGGCAAAACGCACACATGGCAAAACGCACACATGGCAAAAACATCTCACCACGGCAGGGGTGTCACTAGCTTACCACGGGGTGCATCCACACTCGATCTCTCAGCACCATCAGCCATCTCGGCCTGCTCCCAGCCACAAACACACCGCCAATGCCAGCACCACCACCACCCTTTCCCCTCCCAGCCGCACCCCCTCCACCCCCTCCTCCACTCCCCTCCAGCCCAACTCCCTGAAACGGAAACAGCATCCTGCTCCTCAGCCTGCCAGCCCTCCTGCTCCTCTCCTTACCCTCCTCTCCCTGCTCCTTCTCTTCCGCTGCATGATCACCTCCCCCCCTTTCCTCTCCCCCAGTATCACCTCCCCCAGTCTCACCTCCCTCTTGCTTCACCCTGCTATCTCCCCCTCCCCCTCCCCCATCACCAGCAACTGCCTCTCGGCCCTCTCCTCTCTCCCCCTTCCCCTCCTCCTCCACTCCCCCCTCTACATCAACCTGGTGAATCCCAGCCTCTTCCTCCTCCAGACAAACCCTCTGAAACCGCAATCCACCTACCCCTAATCCGGCTACCCCTGATCCACCTACCCCTGATCCACCTACCCCTGATCCACCTACCCCTGATCCAGCTACTCCCAGTCCAGCTGTTAATCCAGCTACCCCTACGCTGCCTGGCTTTGCTCCCTTCTCTCCCTCCCCATCCCCTCGCCCACCTCCTCCCCCTGCTCGTCCTCCTGCCCTCACACTTCCCTCTCCTGATACTGTCACACTCGCTGCAATCACATCAGCAGGGGAGGCTCCAGAGGGGCAGAATGCTCGGAACCCCAGCAGCCGCCCGTCTGAAAGCAGAACAAACAAAAACAGCCGCCCAGTGGCTGGGTTGACGGATACGTGCAGATCCACGACAAACAGCTTCGGCCAATCAGGTGCGAACGGGGAGGGTGCGACTGGTGCAGGTGGCGTGTGTGCTGTAGTTTCTCTCCCTGCTCTCCCTGCTGTTCCTGCTGCATCGTTCTCTGATTTGTGGGATGCAACAGGTTCTTTCGTCTCCGTTTTTACTCTCCCCTCCTCTGCTTTTACTCCCTCAGTATCCCGACCGCTACCAGCACCACTGCCACCCTCCATGTCCACATCACTCCCTTTCACCTCTTCCTTCCCCTCCCCCTCCTTCCCCTCCCCCTCCTTCCTCTCCTCCTTCACCCCCCTCTCTTCCTCTCCCTCCACCACCGGCCTCCCTGACCCCTGCTCGCCCACTCCTTCCTTCTGAGCCTCCTCTGGCTTCACATCTACCTCCATTGCATCAAGCACTGCTGCTGGTGCCCTTTCTGCTGCTGCTGTTCCTGCGGCTGCTGCTGCTTCTGCTCCTGCTGTCGCACGAGCAGACTCTTTTCCTCCTCCGCCTGCTGCAGCTGCCGCTGCTGCAGTAACAATAGCAGCAGCAGCAGCAGCTGCAGCAGGGGTGTGCTTCAAGAGAGTGTGACTATCAGCCAGGCCCAGGGAGGAGTAGACGCAGCGGAGGGAGGGGAGGAGGTACAGCTGGAGCAGGCCGGATCTACGAGCAACAGCGCAGAGGGGCAGTGAGGGAGGAAGAGGAGGAGGAAGAGTCGGAGTGGGAGAGAGTGCAGGAGGACTAAGGGATGCGGGAGTGGTGGTGGACGTAGGGATGCCTTTGATAGTGTTGCCAAGGGCACAGGCAAGCGCACTGCTCGTGGTGGTGGTGGTGACGGCTGTGGGAGAGCTGGTTTTGGAGCAGTGAGAGGAGGGGCAGAGGAGGAGGGAGTATGCTGTGATGGGGTCAGATGGAGGACTGGGGAGGTGGCAAGGGATGGGGATGAGAGAGAGAGGCTTGGACGGATCTGCAGGGATGGGGGAAGAGCGGGCGGGGGGGGGGGGGGGGGGGGGGGGGGAGGGGGAGCGGGAGGGAAGGAGGAAGACTAGGTTTAGCGTTCAACTGTCGTCTTTCCCCGGATGGGTTGGGGGTTAAGAGTGGGCATGGAATTTGGCTGTAGCTTGTACTTGTTCGCATTTTGACACACTCGCATGCACGCACACATAAGACCAGAGTGTCATGAATAAGACGACACATTCGTAAGATCATGCATGCAGCAACAGCTTGAAGAGTAGTAACCAGGAGTCTATTATTGAGGCACCTCAAACGTAAAAAACAAAGAGTCTATTTATTAGGCGCCTCACAGTTAGTAACCAAGAGCACTACCTGGGCCAAGCAGCACGAATCGGCCATCCACCAATCGCAGCATGACATATGGATCCGCCACGTCAGCAGACTCAATCTCCACATCCTCTACCCCCTCCGGCCCCTCCTCCATCCCTTCCCCGCCCCCTTTCTCCCCCCCAACTACCATGCCACGTGGCAGCATCTCCTGCAGCAGGATGGCTGAGCTGGCGAGCAATCGGACGGCAGAGGGAGTGACTTGGAGGATGCAGCGGCGGGAGAAGAGGTTGGCAGCAAGGAGAGTGGGTGCGTCGGTGATGAAACTCACTTCAGCTGACACCTCCCGAAGCAGCTCGCCTGTCTCTAGCACCTGAAGGAGATGAGGGGGAGGGGAAAGGGCGGAGGTTTAACGACATGGTCAGGTCACCCCGGTTCCACGCAGGGTATTTTGAGAATTCTCAAGTTTCCAGAACCTAACGCAGGGGCACAAGGGGAGGGCGTAAGAAACGTGACACTACTCTCACATTACCTATCTCTCTCTCTCACCATGCTTTCGCTTTCAAACGCCAGCACAAGGAGCCCGTGGTAGTCCTTGACTCCCTGCCAACCTTCCCTCCCTCCCTTCCCACCCTCACCATCACCAGCCCCTCCCACACACCCACACCCTCACCAAAACAACCATCACATCATCACCTATATCTCGCTCTCACCATGCTTTCGCTTCCAAACGCCAGCACAGGGTACCCGTGGCAGTCGTCCCTCCCCTCCCCCCTCCCTCTCCACCCTCATCATCGCCAGTCCCTCCCACACTCCCACACACTCCCACACACTCACCAACACAGCCATCCGTTTACCTATCATCTCTCTCACCATGCTTTTGCCTTGGAACACCAGCACAGGGAACCCAAGGTAGCCGTCTCATCCATCCCTCCCGACAGATTAGAGATGGCCAGCAGAGAGTTAAAGCATCCCTCTCACCATGCTTCACTGTGTTAGGTTTTTTAGAATTTCTAAAAATGACCTAAGTCAGATTAGAGAGTCAGCCAACAGGGACTTAAAGCATCCCTCTCTCACCGTGCTGTGAGTCGACACAAAAGCAGACTCTTTTCCACGACAACTATCTCTATCTCTCACCATGCTCTGGCTTTCAAACGCCAGCACAAGGAACCCGTGATAGTCCCCACCGCCGGCCTTCCCTTCTCCCTCTCCTCCCTCTCCTCCATCTCCTCCATCGCTACCATCCACCCCACTTCCAATTCCTCCACTCTTCTCCTTCGCCCCTGCAGCCCCACTCCCCCCATCCACTTCCATAGCGCCTGCCCCAGATCCCACCTCCCCTGAGCCCTTCCTGCCACCCACCCCCTCCCCCTCCCCTCCACCCTCCACCCCTCCTCCCTCCTTCCCTGCTCCCTCCCCCCCTCCGGTCTTCTCCCCTGCCTCTCCTACTGCCGCCTGGCCATTTTCTCCCCCAGGCAGCGCAGAGCCATAGACAGTCCACAGGCCACAGCAGCCAGGCAGGTCCTCCTGTGGGCGAGAGGGAACAGAAAGAAGCGAAGCATGAGGGGGAAAGAGAAGAGAACCCCTTCAATCCGGCCATTTTTCCTCCCCAAGCTGTTGAAGGCAGCGCCGCAGCGCAGAGCCATACACAGTCCACAGGCCACGGCAGCCAGGCAGGTCCTCCTGCGGGTGAGAAGATGAGCCGTTCACCGCAGGGAGTTGGGGAAGAGACCTTGAGGAAGATTTTGGAGTCGACTCAATTGTCGTCCTTCTGCGGGTGAGAAGACGAGACGTGCACAGCGGGGAGTCGGTGAAAAGAACTTGAGGAACCTTGCCCCACAAAACACGCGGCAAGGAAGAAAGATGCATCTCCAAAACACAAAGAACACGAGCATGCGGATCTACAAAGGAGAATGCTTTGAGGCGCCTCAAAAGATGCTGGCACACACGAGCATGCGGATCGACAAAGGGGAATGTTTTGAGGCGCCTCAAAAGATGCTGGCACACACGAGCATGCGGATCGACAAAGGGGAATGTTTTGAGGCGCCTCAAAAGATGCTGGCACACACAAGCATGCGGATCGACAAAGGGGAATGCATGCTCGAGTCGACTGAAAAGCATGCTGGGTATTGTTTAGACTTCTAAAAAAAGCATGCTCGGCGAAGAGGGATATATCATCATCACGTCACCTGAGTGAGCACGTCTAGTGGCACGCGCTGCAGCAACACAGACAGGGCGCCGTTCTTGCCATGCCCACTGCACGCCACCAGCATCTGCTGCTGCTGCTTGCCCTCCTGCTGCTGCTGGGGGGTAGCGGAGGGCAGCGCTGGGATGGGCACCAGGCCTCTGATCGGGCCGATGTTGAGAAGTGAGTCACACACTCGGAAGGAGAAGCCCTCTTGCGAGGCAGGCCCCCCTGGGGTGGCCGGGCTTGCAGTGGCCAGCTCCTCCTCACCAGCGCCAACAGCAGCAGCAGAAGATGCAGCCGCAGACACTCCCGCGGCAGTTGCAGTCTCCTCTGCGCGCAGGCGCTTGGGCCCTCGCTGCTCCTGCTAGAGAGATAATAAGGTGGACAGGTGGGGAGGGGGAAGGAAGGGCGGAACGGGGAGTTTTGAGTTGACTCAAAAGTCATCTCGGAGGGGGGAAGGAAGGGAGGAACGGGGAGGAGAGGGAGGAAGGGCGGGAGTGAGGGAGAGAGGGAGGCAGGGAGGGAGGGAGGGAGGGAGGGAGGGAGGGAGGGAGGGAGGGGGGAGAGGGAGGGGAGACGAGGGGGGGAAGGGCCGGAAGAGTAGAGCCGGAGGGGGAAAGAGTAGGGATAGTGAGGAAGGAGAGGAGAAATTTCTGGGCAAGGAATCGAGTACGAAGGCAAATCACCCGTGCATTGCACAGCCCTTACAAAGAGGGCAAGTTCTTACCAGGCCAAGCTCGTTGGCTCGGTAACGAATGAGCATACTGTCACCGAGCCTGCTAGCCACAAAGAGCAGGCTCGGGCCGAGGCTAATTATGCCTGATGCCTGCACTGTGGCACGGACTTGTAGAAGGTCCAAACTGAAGGTTGGTGACCTGTTGAGGAAGGGTGGATGGAGGGAGAGGAGCAGAGGGAGCAAAGGGAGAGAGGAGAGGGAACATGTCATTCACGGGGACGAAGGACAGGACAACAATCACTGATACGCATGCACGCGGCAACGCCGCAGAGGGAGATGTATGTAGTCCGTAGAAGCCATGCCCTTAGATTTGTATACTGAATCTTCCATGCTTTGATTCAGGAATCACTCCCCCGAAACTTCTACCCATGCGCGTTCCGTCCTTACTTTGGCTCGGGCGTCACTTTCACCACCACCAGTGCACCACCTTTACTCGCAAGAAACACAACAGCACCACTGCTGCTGCTGTTGCTGCTGCTGCTCCCACCACTGACTCTCCCTCCAACCCCCACCGAGCCTCCACTTGGCCCAATCACAGGCTGCCACGTGGCATGCGCCGCATCCAGTTCCACCGACAGAGGCCCTTGACCCGGCTGCTGACGTGGACGAGGGATCTCGGTGCCATCTGGCAGGGCGGGCGGCGACGAATCGTTCAGCGCTAGGTGGCAGGTGGAGGAGGCGGAACAGAAGTGGAGGGAGTGGGGGGAGAGGACGAGGAGGCCCCCGGGGGGGAAGGGGGCGGGGGAGAGCGCGTAGGAGTCGAAGGGGAGATGCTGCGAGAAGGGGGAGAGGGAAGGAGGGGGATACTGCTCAAGAGCGGACGAGGAGGCCCCTGGGGGAGAAGGCTTAGTTGCTACAAACGCTCTGGCAGACACCGTTTGAACGCAAAAGCCAAACGCACCCAAAAATGCAAACGCTCTCTGGGATTTACATGACATATGAGGAGGATGCTGGCTTAAATGTTAAGCACGGTTCTTTTTTATGAGACAAAATGCTTGCTGGTAGAACCCCCATGTTTCCCCCCTCCCCCACAGGAATCTTGAACCCCTGCCCGGGTAAAAAATTTACCCCTGCCCGGGCAAGCGTTTGCCTAGCGTTCACATACACACTGCCGAGCGTTTAGCGTTTGTAGCAACTAAGGGAGCGAGGGAGAGTGCGTAGGAGTCGAAGGGGAGATGCTGCGAGAAGGGGGGGAGGGAAGGAGGGGGGTACTGCTTTTGAGCCGAATAAAAAAGAGCGGATGAGGAGGCCCCCAAGGGGGAAGGAGGCGGGGGAGAGAGTGTAGGAGTCGAAGGGGAGATGCTGCAAAAAAGGGGGGGAGGGGGCCAGGAGGTGGGGAAGGGGGGGAGGTGGGCAGGAGGGGGGGAAAGGGGGGAGGGGGGAGAGGATGGGAAGTTGAATTGGGGTACACATAGGGGAGGGAGGAACATCGGGGGGTGGGAGGAGAGGATACACAGGGGGCTCCAGTCTAGGGGTTGAAAGAGGGGGAGGTGAGAGGAGACGAGAGGAAGAGGAAGAGGCTAGTGAGGAAGCCCATGTGAGGAAGCCCATGTGAGGAAGCCCATGTGAGGAAGCCCATGTGAGGAAGCCCATGTGAGGAAGCCCATGTGAGGAATCCCATGTGAGGAAGCCCATGTGAGGAAGCCCATGTGAGGAAGCCCATGTGAGGAAGCCCGTGCGAGGAGGCCCGTGTGAGGAAGCCCATGTGAGGAAGCCCATGTGAGGAAGCCCATGCGAGGAATCCCATGTGAGGAATCCCATGTGAGGAAGCCCATGTGAGGAATCCCGTGCGAGGAGGCCCGTGTGAGACATCCTTGAAGAACACTCACTGGAGCAAGAAAGTAAGAAGGACTCGGCTCACAGCGTGCTCAGACAGCTGATTCACCATTCACCTCTAAAACAAAGAGATCACATCGCACCTTGGTAGTTCCAAGAATGAGGTGAGAGTGAGTGTGCAGCAACACCCTTAGGAAGGTGATAGCACAGGAGAAGCGAGCCTCGAGAACTGACAAGGAAGCGCCTCCCAGAATGAATGATCTCACCTTGGTAGTTCCAAGAATGAGATGAGAGCGGGTATGCAGCGACACCCGTAGGAAGGTGACGGCACAGGAGAAGCGAGCCTCGAGAACTGAAGGGGAGGACCCTCCGAGCCTCCCCGCCCATGTGTTGCCCTCCTCCCATAGCACTGCCACTATGGGGTCTCCAGGCTCGGACAAAAAGACAAAATCCCGCACCTGGAGGTTCGGGAGGACGGGGCGTGGGGAGAAGGATGTCTGCTGACGTAGGAGAGATCAAGGCGACATAGGAGGGGAAATGAAGCGATGAGGGGAACAGACTATCCTGCAGGCTGAATGATGGTAAGTCAACTTTTCTTTTTATATTTCTTTTCACTTGAGGGTGTTCTTGATTGTTCAAGCAGCTCCTAATAGCTCGCTTTGCACTGCAGACAGCTTACATTGGAGATCCCAAGGGGCCGCAAGTCGATAGTGAAAGAGCCGCCGAACCTAGGAGCCTGGCCCGCCGAGCCTCCTCGGAAAGAGGAGGACCGGTCCAAGCCTCCCTTGAAGGAAGAGGGCCGGTCCAAAGAGGCTCGGTCCGAACCAGACTTGCTGAAAGACGAGGACCGGAGGGCTGTGGGAGAAGCCAGAGCAGCGGCTGCTGCTTCGGTATCGGCCGCTTGGTTATGCCCTGTCTGGTTGTGACCTGTCTGGTTGTGGCCTGCTTGCTTGCGGGTGAGGAAGTGCAGGTGGCAGCGGTACACTAGCACAGCTGAGCAGCGGCCCGACCAATCAGAGCGCGCGATGGGCGGAAGCGGAAAGTTTTCTCTGCCCCTCTTTCGAGCAGCCCACTCCGGCCCTTCAAGGAAGTGCAGAGAGCTGGTGCATGGCGGGCAGGTGGGGGATCAATAGATAGGGGGGGAAGAACTTGTGAGAGATTAGGAAGAATAGTGCAAGGAGCTGGTGCAAGGCAGGTTGAGGCGGGGTGGGTGGGGGGTCGAAAAATACGGGGCGGGAGCGGGTGAGATGGGGGGAAGGGGGGGTTGGCGGGGAGAGGAGGGGGGGAGTGGGTGAATAGCAGGGTGGGATAGTCACACCAAAGAATGGGTGGGTGAACGGCATAATCGCACTTCTCTGCATAAAGTGCTGTGTGTGATAACATGCCGCATTCCACACAGCCAGCCATAACAAATGACACACTGGCAGGCACACGTTGCACCAACACCTTGGACTCTGGTGCATTGCACCGATACCCTGGCTGGCAGCTGGCATAATGTGCCTTGACATGCATTGCCCATGCATGCTTAAACCTGCAAGCAACCCTCCCACCTGGCTTTGAGCCGCTGTGTGCTGCCATCAAACTCCACCACCAGTGACAGCCACCTTGGCCTCCATGCCACGGCACCATGGACTCGTGCCACACACACACACACGTGACCGCCCAACCCTCCCACCTGGCTTTGAGCCGCTGTGTGGTGTCATCAAACCCTCCCTCCCACCCACCTGACTTTGAGCCGCTGTGTGGCATCATCAAACTCCACCACCGACACCTTGGCCTCTCGAAACGTCAGCACCAGCGCATCCTTGCGACCACTGTAGCTGCTGCCGCTGCCGCTGCCGCTACTGTTGCCACTACCACTACCAATAGCACCCTGCATTGCGCTCAGGTCTCCAGCAATCGCACCACCCCCACCAACTTCCCCCCCACCTCTTGCATCTCTCTTGCCCATCTGCCGTCCTCCCCTCCCTCTCCCTCCCCTCCCACCGCCCTCCCCCCCGGCTCCCCCTCTTCCCGCACCTCTCCCCGCACCACTCCCGGAGTTGGGACCGCCTCCCCCAGTCCCCACCCAGCCAGGCGCGTCAGTTGCTGCCGCCCCTGGCACCACTGCCATGCTCTCTACCACTCCGTTCAGCCTGGGGTCAGAAAAATGGGAGGGACGAAGAAAAGGAAGAAGGGAGAAAGGCTCCATTCCTTCATTTCTTGCCTCTCCAGCAGCAGGCAGGCACCACTGCCATGCTCTCCACCACTCCGTTCAGCCTGGGGTCAGAAAAATGGGAGGGACGAAGGAAAGGAAGAAGGGAGAAAGGCTCCATTCCTTCATTTCTTGCCTCTCCAGCAGCAGGCAGGCACCACTGCCATGCTCTCCACCACTCCGTTCGGCCTGGGGTGAAGAGATTAAGGGAGAAAGGGATCTGGGAGGAAGAGAACGAAGGATGGAATGGAGAAGGATACGAAGAAGGCGTGCAGCCTTTGACCCTCCATACCCAGCCTGGTGCGTCAGTTGCATTGCAGCCGCCTCTGGCACCACTGCCATGCTCTGCACCACTCCGTTCATCCTGGGGTCAAGATGCAAGGGGTAAGCCGACGGGTAAGTGGAAAAGACTTTTGAGGCGCCTCAAAAGTAAGCCGAGGGGTAAGTGGAAAAGAAAACCCAGGGAGACGATGGGATACGAGCTGCTTTCGCTTCTGGAACCAAGTTACCAACAGCATGGTAGCCACCCCAGCATTCGGAAGACCAAAAAACGCTGGGCGTGAGAGGAAGCTGGGCGTGAGAGGAAGCTGGGCGTGAGAGGAAGCTGGGCGTGAGAGGAAGCTGGGCGTGAGAGGAAGCTGGGCGTGAGAGGAGCTGGGCGTGAGAGGAAGCTGGGGCGTGAGAGGAAGCTGGGCGTGGAGGAGGAAGCTGGGCGTGAGAGGAAGCTGGGCGTGAGAGGAAGCTGGGCGTGAGAGGAAGCTGGGCGTGAGAGGAAGCTGGGCGTGAGAGGAAGCTGGGCGTGAGAGAAGCTGGGGAGAGGAGCTGGGCGTGAGAGGAAGCTGGGCGTGAGAGGAAGCTGGGCGTGAGAGGAAGCTGGGCGTGAGAGGAAGCTGGGCGTGAGAGGAAGCTGGGCGTGAGAGGAAGCTGGGCGTGAGAGGAAGCTGGGCGTGGAGGGGGGGGGAGGGGGGAGAGGAAGCTGGGCGTGAGAGGAAGCTGGGCGTGAGAGGAAGCTGGGCGTGAGAGGAAGCTGGGCGTGAGAGGGAAGCTGGGCGTGAGAGGAAGCTGGGCGTGGGAGAGGAAGCTGGGCGTGAGAGGAAGCTGGGCGTGAGAGGAAGCTGGGCGTGAGAGGAAGCTGGGCGGTGAGAGGAAGCTGGGCGTGAGAGGAAGCTGGGCGTGAGAGGAAGCTGGGGTGAGAGGAAGCTGGGCGGTGAGAGGAAGCTGGGCGTGAGAGGAAGCTGGGCGTGAGAGGAAGCTGGGCGTGAGAGGAAGCTGGGCGTGAGAGGAAGCTGGGCGTGAGAGGAAGCTGGGCGTGAGAGGAAGCTGGGCGTGAGAGGAAGCTGGGCGTGAGAGGAAGCTGGGCGTGAGAGGAAGCTGGGCGTGAGAGGAAGCTGGGCGTGAGAGGAAGCTGGGCGTGAGAGGAAGCTGGGCGTGAGAGGAAGCTGGGCGTGAGAGGAAGCTGGGCGTGAGAGGAAGCTGGGCGTGAGAGGAAGCTGGGCGTGAGAGGAAGCTGGGCGTGAGAGGAAGCTGGGCGTGAGAGGAGTGGGCGTGAGAGGAAGCTGGGCGTGAGAGGAAGCTGGGCGTGAGAGGAAGCTGGGCGTGAGAGGAAGCTGGGCGTGAGAGGAAGCTGGGCGTGAGAGGAAGCTGGGCGTGAGAGGAAGCTGGGGCGTGAGAGGAAGCTGGGCGTGAGAGGAAGCTGGGCGTGAGAGGAAGCTGGGCGTGAGAGGAAGCTGGGCGTGAGAGGAAGCTGGGCGTGAGAGGAAGCTGGGCGTGAGAGGAAGCTGGGCGTGAGAGGAAGCTGGGCGTGAGAGGAAGCTGGGCGTGAGAGGAAGCTGGGCGTGAGAGGAAGCTGGGCGTGAGAGGAAGCTGGGCGTGAGAGGAAGCTGGGCGTGAGAGGAAGCTGGGCGTGAGAGGAAGCTGGGCGTGAGAGGAAGCTGGGCGTGAGAGGAAGCGGGCGTGAGAGGAAGCTGGGCGTGAGAGGAAGCTGGGCGTGAGAGGAAGCTGGGCGTGAGAGGAAGCTGGGCGTGAGAGGAAGCTGGGCGTGAGAGGAAGCTGGGCGTGAGAGGAAGCTGGGCGTGAGAGGAAGCTGGGCGTGAGAGGAAGCTGGGCGTGAGAGGAAGCTGGGCGTGAGAGGAAGCTGGGCGTGAGAGGAAGCTGGGCGTGAGAGGAAGCTGGGCGTGAGAGGAAGCTGGGCGTGAGAGGAAGCTGGGCGTGAGAGGAAGCTGGGCGTGAGAGGAAGCTGGGCGTGAGAGGAAGCTGGGCGTGAGAGGAAGCTGGGCGTGAGAGGAGCTGGGCGTGAGAGGAAGCTGGGCGTGAGAGGAAGCTGGGCGTGAGAGGAAGCTGGGCGTGAGAGGAAGCTGGGCGTGAGAGGAAGCTGGGCGTGAGAGGAAGCTGGGCGTGAGAGGAAGCTGGGCGTGAGAGGAAGCTGGGCGTGAGAGGAAGCTGGGCGTGAGAGGAAGCTGGGCGTGAGAGGAAGCTGGGCGTGAGAGGAAGCTGGGCGTGAGAGGAAGCTGGGCGTGAGAGGAAGCTGGGCGTGAGAGGAAGCTGGGCGTGAGAGGAAGCTGGGCGTGAGAGGAAGCTGGGCGTGAGAGGAAGCTGGGCGTGGAGAGGAAGCTGGGCGTGAGAGGAAGCTGGGCGTGAGAGGAAGCTGGGCGTGAGAGGAAGCTGGGCGTGAGAGGAAGCTGGGCGTGAGAGGAAGCTGGGCGTGAGAGGAAGCTGGGCGTGAGAGGAAGCTGGGCGTGAGAGGAAGCTGGGCGTGAGAGGAAGCTGGGCGTGAGAGGAAGCTGGGCGTGAGAGGAAGCTGGGCGTGAGAGGAAGCTGGGCGTGAGAGGAAGCTGGGCGTGAGAGGAAGCTGGGCGTGAGAGGAAGCTGGGCGTGAGAGGAAGCTGGGCGTGAGAGGAAGCTGGGCGTGAGAGGAAGCTGGGCGTGAGAGGAAGCTGGGCGTTGAGAGGAAGCTGGGCGTGAGAGGAAGCTGGGCGTGAGAGGAAGCTGGGCGTGAGAGGAAGCTGGGCGTGAGAGGGAAGCTGGGCGTGAGAGGAAGCTGGGCGTGAGAGGAAGCTGGGCGTGAGAGGAAGCTGGGGAGAGGAAGCTGGGCGTGAGAGGAAGCTGGGCGTGAGAGGAAGCTGGGCGTGAGAGGAAGCTGGGCGTGAGAGGAAGCTGGGCGTGAGAGGGAAGCTGGGCGTGAGAGAAGCTGGGCGTGAGAGGAAGCTGGGCGTGAGAGGAAGCTGGGCGTGAGAGGAAGCTGGGCGTGAGAGGAAGCTGGGCGTGAGAGGAAGCTGGGCGTGAGAGGAAGCTGGGCGTGAGAGGAAGCTGGGCGTGAGAGGAAGCTGGGCGTGAGAGGAAGCTGGGCGTGAGAGGAAGCTGGGCGTGAGAGGAAGCTGGGCGTGAGAGGAAGCTGGGCGTGAGAGGAAGCTGGGCGTGAGAGGAAGCTGGGCGTGAGAGGAAGCTGGGCGTGAGAGGAAGCTGGGCGTGAGAGGGAAAGCTGGGCGTGAGAGGAAGCTGGGCGCGTGAGAGGAAGCTGGGCGTGAGAGGAAGCTGGGCGTGAGAGGAAGCTGGGCGTGAGAGGAAGCTGGGCGTGAGAGGAAGCTGGGCGTGAGAGGAAGCTGGGCGTGAGAGGAAGCTGGGGGGAGAGGAAGGGGCGTGAGAGGAAGCTGGGGCGTGAGAGGAAGCTGGGCGTGAGAGGAAGCTGGGCGTGAGAGGAAGCTGGGCGTGAGAGGAAGCTGGGCGTGAGAGGAAGCTGGGCGTGAGAGGAAGGAAGCTGGGCGTGAGAGGAAGCTGGGCGTGAGAGGAAGCTGGGGCGTGAGAGGGAAGCTGGGCGTGAGAGGAAGCTGGGCGTGAGAGGAAGCTGGGCGTGAGAGGAAGCTGGGCGTGAGAGGAAGCTGGGCGTGAGAGGAAGCTGGGCGTGAGAGGAAGCTGGGCGTGAGAGGAAGCTGGGCGTGGAGGAGGGGGAGAGAAGCTGGGCGTGAGAGGAAGCTGGGCGTGAGAGGAAGCTGGGCGTGAGAGGAAGCTGGGCGTGAGAGGAAGCTGGGGCGTGAGAGGAAGCTGGGCGTGAGAGGAAGCTGGGCGTGAGAGGAAGCTGGGCGTGAGAGGAAGGGGGGAGGAAGCTGGGCGTGAGAGGAAGCTGGGCGTGAGAGGAAGCTGGGCGTGAGAGGAAGCTGGGCGTGAGAGGAAGCTGGGCGTGAGAGGAAGCTGGGCGTGAGAGGAAGCTGGGGCGTGAGAGGAAGCTGGGCGTGAGAGGAAGCTGGGCGTGAGAGGAAGCTGGGCGTGAGAGGAAGCTGGGCGTGAGAGGAAGCTGGGCGTGAGAGGAAGCTGGGCGTGAGAGGAAGCTGGGCGTGAGAGGAAGCTGGGCGTGAGAGGAAGCTGGGGCGTGGAGAGGAAGCTGGGCGTGAGAGGAAAGCTGGGGCGTGAGAGGAAGCTGGGCGTGAGAGGAAGCTGGGCGTGAGAGGAAGCTGGGCGTGAGAGGAAGCTGGGCGTGAGAGGAAGCTGGGCGTGAGAGGAAGCTGGGCGTGAGAGGAAGCTGGGCGTGAGAGGAAGCTGGGCGTGAGAGGAAGCTGGGCGTGAGAGGAAGCTGGGCGTGAGAGGAAGCTGGGCGTGAGAGGAAGCTGGGGCGTGAGAGGAAGCTGGGCGTGAGAGGAAGCTGGGCGTGAGAGGAAGCTGGGCGTGAGAGGAAGCTGGGCGTGAGAGGAAGCTGGGCGTGAGAGGAAGCTGGGCGTGAGAGGAAGCTGGGCGTGAGAGGAAGCTGGGCGTGAGAGGAAGCTGGGCGTGAGAGGAAGCTGGGCGTGAGAGGAAGCTGGACCCCCATCTGAACTCGCAAACGACATCCAGAGTCGGACCAGACAGTACAATGCTTCCAGCAACCTTGCTGCCTCTTGAGAATTCTCAAAAGCCAACTCATCTAAAACGCCAACTCATCTAAAAAAACAACTCATCTCACCTGAACTCGCAGACGACATCCAGAGTCGCTCCAGGCAGTACATTACTTCCAGCAACCTTGCTGCTTCCCCCGTCTCCCCCCGCTTCCCCTTTCCGCCCCCCCTCCTCCGCCTCCCCGCCCACCGCATTGCTCCGCACCGAGAACACTTCCAGCACATTCCCGCGGCTGACGATCAGGTTCGGCAGAGGCTCGGCGGTCGCCGAACGAGTCAGGAAACCGGAGGCGCAGCAGGTGACGCCGGTCGGCGGGTGGACAACTTTATAGGCCGCGTAGCTCATGCCTGCAGCGACCGTTGATCGAATGAATGGTTCTGGCCAACGACCGTTGATCAGAATCACCGATTGTTAACACGACACGACGGATCATGTGCCTGTGGCAACTCGGAATGCCTACTGATCGCGAGACTTAGGTCGATTCCACTTCTGAGAACTACCAATGTCTTGAGATTTGGTGGTCCGTTCAGAAACGAGAAACTGGGACAAGCAATGTGGTGACGGGCCACGCCACGATACACAGGTGTGGTCGAAACGGCTACTATGCCTTTCTGTAACCGCAGTACTGGCCACCGCGAATGCCGACGAGACCCCTTCTGCGGCTAGACGGTTCTTTGAGAGAGGTGGTGTGGAGCATTTCTGGTGTTTTGTGGCGAGAGGGCGCTGATTCATCCATCAGAAAATATTTCTTTACCGTTTAACCAAGGATACAGAAACATAGCACAGCACCTATACATCACTATATTGCATAGAGAGTAATTATCGCCTACCTAATGACGTCAATAATCAAGCAGCAGAAAAAAAACCGTCGAAGTAAAAAACACACGAAGTAACCAAGCTTCTAGTCCCAACCAAACACCAGCCAGACTCGAAGGTTAGATAGGATGCCGATTTAGCATCATAAGGCACAAATGGCGATGCAGCAACTAGTCTTGGTATCACAAGCTTTCAGCACCTTCAGCAACTCCCCTCCCCCCACCCCCACCCCCACCAATTCATAAGAGCACCTTTCATGGTTTTAAAAAAATACGTACGAGCAAACCCTTCTGGGGGCGTCAGAGTTTCAGAGTGAGGTCAACCTCTAGAGCTCCTCTCTGCTTCTCAACCTCATCCATCCCTCCACCTGCTACTGCTTCCACTCCTCCTCCTCCCATATTAGCAGCCTCAAACCCAAAATTCAATACACGACCCTTTACCGGGACCACTGCCACCGAACCGAACCCTAACGCGGATGATACCTTAGACCTCGCGGTATTCCCAAGGTCCCTGCTTTCATTTCGGTCGAGCAGCGTCCCATTTCCCGCCAAAAGCTTAGCGGCTGCGTTGACAACTTCCGGGGGAGGCGCGGATCTGTGCGACCGGGGGAGGGGCAGCCAAGCAGACGCGGAACCACTGCCCGCTCCAGCAGGGGTTTCGTCTCCGTGCTCCGCCACCACGCTCGAAGAAGCAGCAGGCTCCTTTTTCGGCTGACCCAGCGAGCGTTTCATCTGCCCGAGCATCCAATCGATGGCTGGAATTGCATCCGGAGAGGGGGACACTTCAGACGTCAGCGACGAACGACCCGCAGTGCCAGGAGAAGCCGCATCACCTTCCTTACCCCCGTTCTCAGTCCCGCCAACAGCCGCCGCAGCGGCAGATTTCACAGCGCCGCTGCTGCCCTGCTGCTCCTGAACCTGTAACGAACCCGCTGCGCAGACGGCGCCGGCAGCTGCGCCGTTTGCGACGGACTCCGCGGGTTTCAGAGCGGTAGGTTGCGGCATGCTTGCGGACGGCGCGCGTAGTGTGCTCTCCAGCGGTTTGACCAGAGAGAATATATTGTAGCCGTGGACCGGAATTCCAAGAACAGGCGGAGGTGCGCTCCCCGCCGCGGCGCTAATAGGCGCAGCTGCTGCGAACATCTGCGGTTGCAATAGCTGAAGCTGCTGCTGCTGCAGCTGCTGCTGCTGTTGCTGTTGATGTTGCTGCGAAGCTTCGTACATGACCTGTGAAAACGAGCCCAGGGACGAACACGGGCCAGCGCCGCCATTGACAGGCGCGGCCATCGCAGCAGCGGCAGCCGCCGCCGCTGCCGCAGCGGCGTACGGACCACCGCCAAACATGGACGCGTGTATGGAAGCCGCGCCGGCGTGCATGGGAGCCCCGCTCAGATTCGCGCCGAACGGCATAGATACGGACATAGGCGGGAACCCGGCGGAGGGGAACGAAGCGGCGGAAGCTGGGAGACGCGGAAGAATCTGCGGCATTTTCCGCTCAGAGGCTCCCGGCTGGCTCGTGGTTACGTTGGAATGGTCTGTGGTGGTGGTAGCGCCAGCAGCGCCAGCAGCGCCAGCCGTTGTCTGGTCCATGGCGTTACCAGCTGCAGAGACACCGGCGGCGGGAGAAGCGCCAATCGCGGCGGACGCAGTTCGAGCGGAAGCAGCATGCGATGCCGCTACTGCCGCCGCCGCTGCTGCCGCGGCCGCGGCGCGATCTTTCTTGGACGGCCGTCCTCTTTTCCGCGGCCGAAGCGCGAGAACCGGATTACTTAACGCGTCTGACGCGTTTTCGTTCAACCGCTTGCCCTTGCTGTCAGATGCTGACGCAGCGGCGGCGGCGGCGGCGGATGCGGAAGCTCCCGCTTCCATTAGCTGCGCCGCAGCTAGAGTATTCGTCAGGCGGAACTGCGGGAACGTGAACACGGGTACCGCGGACTCGGTTCCCGGAAACGCGTAATATGCGGGGCCGTTGGTTGCGGGAGCCGGTAGCGCTTGGCAATGAAACGGCGAAGAGCCCCACATCGACGTCTGGGACTGCGCTTGCGCGGCCGCAGCTGCGGCACCGGCGGCTGCTGCCGCTGCTGCGGCGGAGGCGGAGGCGGAAGCAGCGGGCCAGGCGGAGGAGCCGTCTGGGGGGACGACGCTGCAGGAGGGGGCCATGGACTGTTGCGCGGAAAGCATGGGGTCGTGGTTGAGAGCGGAAGCGAGAGTCATGGATGTCGATGCGGTGGAGTGCGGTCGTGGGAGGTAGGCGTAGGCGGGGTATGAACTGAATTTGGAGGCGGCGAAAGCGCAGGCGAATTCCGACGCACGTTCTTTTTCCATGGTTCCGAAGCGGGAAAGCGAGCACTTGGAGTTGGTCTGGAAGCTCGTTACTTAAACTGGAAGCAATGGGGTCAGCTCTGCCGAGCAAACATGCTCTCCGGAGGAAAAGAGTGCTGAACACCAGGTTACACGCAACCGAGTTGCATCTTCCGTGTGGCGAACACGGAAACAAATACTAACAGCTACGGGAAGACGCCGTGAACTTCCTTGACACAGGGTTCCACCAAGCGACGGGAATCAGGAATACAGGAAAACAAACAGGTGTGCTCGCCCTTCTATGGAACCCTAGCTGTGTTGCTCTTCCCACACAAGCAGAGATATTACTGCCTAGGTGAGACACAGAGAAGAGGGTGAAACAAAACACAAGCAAGAGTGGAGTGGGGCGGGAGGGATGGAGTGACCCAACGGTGTTGTGCACAGCACAGAAGCGGGTGTTCCTCGTCGTGACTGGTTGGAAGGTGGTGTGGGTTGGGGTCGTGAAGGACAATATCCGATGGCTGAACCATGTGATTGTGGACGAGAACGCAGAACATTGGAGTGGCAGGGCAGGGCTGGTGGACACACGCAGATTTCATGGGGTGGTTCGGAAGGACCCCAAAGCCAGAAAAAACGTATGACTTGCTCGCAAACTTTCGGTAATGGCCTACTTGGACGTGTATTCGGAAATATTCACGGCCCATCAATGCAAATACACAAAGCTTGCGGTAATTTCACACCCAGTATTTTCACAGGGTGTGCCTTTGAGAGGGTATTCACTCCCCCGAAAGCAGCTTTTGAAGACCAGATCCGGATACCCTTGAAATACAAATTTAGCTTGGATTTCCAATCGAAAAGTTTACTGCTCCATCTGCTGTTTCTCGATTCAGGAAACCCAACGTCAGCTTAGGCAGTGCTAAAAGTTTTTGCCCGCGTGGAGTCTGCCGCGCTTAAGCCGAAGGAACAAGGGAGTATTGTTTACGCACTCAGATATTGTCAGGGCGGACAGAAAATTTAGGCTGCCGCTGAATTTCATGGTGTGAGATTACCGCGGGCTAGGTGTAAAAGAAAATGCAAGATTTCGGCCCTGCTACAGTTCGTGCTGCATGCTGGCCATTGGTTCTCTGTGGCAAACGATTGCGGAAATGAGGGATTTGGAGCGGAAATTTTACAGTGTCGTGTTGCGAAGCCTGATGTGGCATCTGGGGAGTGGTTTCACGCGGGATGTCGAAATGCTAGGAATGGAGGTCAAGGCTGCCCCATCTTACTTCGGGGTTAAATAGATACAGTATTAATATGTTCACTAAAAGTGGGAACCCGACCAGTTGGAGTGTTTAACATTGCTCTATGCGGCTAAAACCAGCGACCAGTCGATGAAAACAAAAACGAATTGAAAATCTCCTTGCCCGCTCAACTTTATGCCACACGGATACGCCGCTTTATGGCGCAAGGCGTGAATCTGCCACTGAATCCAGAGCAGTACATCCCCTCACCTCTTGCCCTGCCCTGGCGAAGGACCCTGGAAAATGACGTGGACGAAACGGCAATAACTGTACATGATCTCTGAATTATATCGTATCCATACATCACCAGATTTGAGAAGGCAGCAGTTGATTGACAACACAATGCAGTTCAGGCCCCTCCTCCCCCAACCATCAAATTTCCCCAAAACGATATGCCGGTTTTAGGAAAATGAGCTCCCCAAACATAAGTTACAGATAACCAATCCGTCAAGGATACAGAGCCTTGGAAAAATTCCCGACATTATGGGCAGCCAGCAAATCAAATACACCGCGCCATCATCATCAGCAGTGTCAAATCGAATGGCCTGCATCCTCCTTATCATTACTGACGCAATCCAACACCACACGAAATCGCAGAAGTTTGCAGATATATGCTGCCGATTCCTGCCAATCAGTTCGTGCCGCATCGGAAGATATCCTTGAAACAAGCACGCCACAGTTTCCCAGGTTGGCAGTGCACTCATTCGTTACAGACATAGTGACGGGGTGCACCTCGATTATATCCAATCAATAAATGAACCGAAGTAGCATTGAACCATCCCCACAAAAATTCCAAATGCACTTGGTGTTGGCCTTCAAGCCCCAATCAGTCTGTTCATATTTTGGAGATACACAATCAATCAAAGCTCAAGGAGATGCGTCTAGTGGGTGTAGACCAGCAGGCACCCTCACGATCCCCATGCTAAGTGCAAATGCATAACACTTATAAATGCACTCGATGTTATCCCAATCAATACCTTCCTTTTTTGGAGATACACAATCAACCAAATCTCATGGAGATGCGTCTAGTAGATGTAGGCCAGCACACACCATCCCTCACGAACCCCAATTGTAAAACAATGTCGGTTGGCATTGGAGGTAACTACTTGGTGGCGTCTGGAACCCTCATCCCAGCGCCTCGATTCCGATTGTCGAGGCTGTTTAGGGAGAGCAGGCAAAGGATAGATAACATGAAGCCATGGACATAAGAGCTGGGAGAACATGGATGCGTGTGTATGTGTGTGAGTGTGTGTGTCGGCATATGTGAAGGTGAGAGAGAGTGAGAAAGATGGGGGGGGAGGGGGTGGGGAGGAGAGGAGGGGAGAAAGAGAGGAGGGGGGGGAAGGGGGGGGTTAGGGAGTGAAAGAAAAAGGACAATTGGAGTAGCATCATATACCATCTTATGATGGAGCTAGCTTCCCGAGGCTGACGAGGAACTCGTCCCTCGATATGCCATCGTAGGCCAAACACACTCCCATTCATCTCCACTCGATATGCCACCTTAAATCGAAACACATTCCCATTCGTCTTCACTTCATAACTCGAAACACATTCCCATTCATCGCCACTCGATAGGCCGTCATAACTCGAAAAACATTCCCATTTGTCTCCACTTTGATTCACTCGAAACACATTCCCATTCGTCTCCACTCGATACGCCACCTTAAATTGAAACACGTTGCCGTTCGACTCCACTCGAAACCTCTCAGGCCATCTCCACTGGTAAGTCTCAACACATCCCCAAACATCCCTCTTAACACCTCGTATTCACGATGGAGCGAGCTTCCAAAGGCTGACGAGGAACTCCCCGCTTAACCCATCAAACACGTTGCCACTCGTCTCCAATCGATGCACCTTGTTATAAGAGACGTCTCAAAGCACCCCCCAGTACTCACGATGGAGCGAGCTTCCCAAGGCTGACGAGGAACTCCCCGCTGAGCCCGTCGAACACATTGCCATTCATCTCCACTCGATAAGCCATGTTGTCGGTGAGAGGCAATCCCCGCCGCACGAGTCGGTCAAGATCTTTCCGGTGCAGCTCCCTGCCGTTCACAAACACCCGCGTGTCGCCACTGGAGCAGCTCCTAGGGAGGGCAGGTCCCAAGTCGATCCCAGGCTGTGGGACCATTGGAAGTGAGGGAGGTGATACAGGCAGGCGAGAGTCAGGTAATGGAATGTGTTTCCCATTCAGCGTGAGGAGTCTAGTTTTGAGGCGCCTCAAAACTAGACTCCTCACGCGTGATACAGGCAAGCGAGAGTCAGGTAATGGGATGTGTTTCCCATTCAGCTGCACTCAGAACGCCATGTAATCTGCAGACTGAGGGGGCGGGGCAAGGCTGAGTGGAATGCATGGGAAGCGCAGAGCGCTATGTTTGAACTGAGTGTGCCAGAATTTCACGTTGAAGCGAGAAATGCAAATGCGGCCAGACCACAGGCCACTACAGGGCCTGTGATTTTTGAGTCGACTCAAAAATCACTACAGGGCCTGAGGGTCCAATTGCTGAATTAGTGCCAAGCCAACCTGAATCAGTGCCATCAGTGTCAAGTCAACCAGCCAACCTGAATCAGTTGCTACTGGTACCTCGTTCAATCCACCAAATCAGTGCAAGGCAAGGCATGACTGCCTTTGAGGCGCACTTTGGAAAAAGACACCAGCAGCAGTAACCATTCTACAGCACTGTCTGTTTTTTTTTCCTCTTTTTGAAAGTACTCACCGGGATCATTCCCAGGCACGGCCCTCCCATCTGGCCCCAGAAGCCCGCTGCCTTGTCATACCTGCAAGAGGTGGCAAATAACAAATTGACGGAAAACCATAGCAGGTACATTCAGAATTAAGAAAAACTGGTGAAACAGTCAAAACGAAGACCCGGACACACAGCAAACTGTGCCGCAGTCCACAAAACAGCACACAAAACGACAGGTACAACAGGCCCGAAATAGTCAACGGAAGGAGCAACAAAACGCCAAAACAACAATACTCAGAGGGGAGGACAATTGTGCGGCAGCAAAAGGGCCTGCCCTGGGTGAGACAGAGGCCTTTTATGAGAATTCTAAAAAACAACTCCCCTGCCTTTGCTGAGACGGAGGCCTGCCAATCGTTTCCTTGTCGAGTAGAAATGGAACCACCCTCTATAACAGCACAATAAACTGATCATTTCGAGGAGTGCGTCAGAAAGGGCATCAAATCAATTTGACTTACCAGTAGTTGCCAGGCTGGATAGGCCCTGCCCTCTGCTCTGCCTCTGCCACCTGGTCGTCACTGATTGGCTCCCCATTCACCACCACACACCGAGAGTACGTCGGCCTCTTCTCCCCACTTGCTGCTGGGGAATCACTGCTGGAAGATTCTATAGCAGAGCTGGCAGGGGACAGCACGCCAGGGCTGCTGCTGCCGCGCAGAGATTCAAAGCTCCCACGCCTCTGAATGCCCCCCAGCCCGTCCGAGCCTGACGCCGGACCTGCGCGCGGACCTGCTCCCGAGCCAGTTCCCGAGCCTGTTCCTGAACCTCCTGGCCCCAAACCAGGCCTGTGGACTGCAGGTCTGGCAGGGCTGGCGCCAGGGCCCCTCCTGCTGCTTCCTCCCCTGCCCCGGTTTCCTGTAGCAGTGGCTGGTGAGCTGCCAGACCCGTTATTAGCAGCCCCAGCAGTTGGCACAGCACCTTCCACTCGTTCAGTGGATGTGGAGTGAGCATACTGCCGGGCCGACTCCATGTCGGAAAGAGAGGAGGAGCGAATGTGCCCTTGAGAATCCTGACTCGCCTCTTGCTGCTGCTGCTGTGAGGCCGGTAGATGAGGGGAGAAGGTTCGGTAGCGGGAGAGGAGCAAGCACTTGCCGCACCTGAGCTTGTGAACGCCTTTCCTGGTGGGCGGCAGGACTGAGGGGATCTCCAGCAGCTGCGTGCAGTGCTGGCACTGCAGGGGGGAAGAGGCAGGAAGGGGGAATGGAGGGGGAGTGGAGGGAAGAAACGAGTGTGAGAGTAGAAGGCAAGGGTTGCGCTTGCTTCGCCCTGAGCTCGTGAACGCGCCTCTCTCTCTCTCTCTCTCTCTCTCTCTCTCTCTTAGTGGGCGGCAGGACAGGAGGGATCTCCAGCAGCTGCGTGCAGTGCTGGCACTGCAGGGGGGAGAGGTTGGAAGGGGGATTTGGGGAAGAAAAGGGGGCGTGAGAGAGGCACGCGCACTTGCCCCACCCTGACCTTGTGACCGCCTCTCCTCTCTTAGTGGGCGGCAGAACAGGAGGGATCTCCAGCAGCTGCGTGCAGTGCTGGCACTAAAGGGGGGGAGAGGTTGGAAGGGGGATTTGGGAAAGAAAAGGGGGCGTGAGAGAGGCACGCGCACTTGCCCCACCCTGACCTTGTGAACGCCTCTCCTCTCTTAGTGGGCGGCAGAACAGGAGGGATCTCCAGCAGCTGCGTGCAGTGCTGGCACTGCAGGGAGAAAGGGTGCATTTTTGCTACACGCCATCTCAACCTCATGATGGGGCAAGTCAACGTCGTACACCCTCAATTTATGTCTTACAAACTTAAGGAACAATAATGGTTGAGCACTTCCACTTTCTGCCCCAATGTTTATTTCTTTCTCCCCATTCACCCCACGCACTTCCCGCACCATTCTCAACGCCCATCCGCCCTTCCCCAATCACCTCACCTGAATAACTTGAGGCACCCCCCCGACCCTGGCAGCATTGGCAGATCCGTCCTTTCACCTTCCCTTCCCTCTTCCACCTATATTTCAATCTACTCAGAATGCCGCTCAGTGCCCATCCTCCCTCCCACTGGACTCACCAGAGCAACATGAGGCACCCAGGCCTGGGAGGATTGACAGCTCCGTCCTTCCCCTTCCGCCCCTTCTTTTATCTCATCGCTGGTTCCAATAGAAAAACCGCTCAATCCTCATCTCCCTTCCCCAGTTCCCTCACCTGAACAACTTGATCACCCTCGGGCATGGCAGCATTGGCACCTCCGCCCCCTCCCCTTCCGCCCCTACTTTGAGCTCATTTCTGATTCCATTCTAAAGTCCGCCCAATGTCCATGCTCCCTCCCTAGTCCCCTCACCTGAACAACTTGAGCCACCCCCGGGCCTGGTAGCATTGGGAGCTCCGCCCCCTCCCCTTCCCTCCCGTCTTCCGCCTGGGGGACCTGCGGGGAGGACACAGGGTGCGCCACAAACATCCCCGCGCCAGGAGACGCCCGCCCAAGCCCTTCCATCCGCGGAATGGCAGACACAGTCCGCGCAGGGCGTTGGGCCCCTGCCCCCGCGCCCGAGCCTATTCCTGTTCCCGAACCTGCCAGTGCTCTCGGCAGCAGTGGCGAGTAGGGAGGTACGGCAGTGGGCTTCCCTCCCAGCTGTGGCAGATGTACCTTTCCACTACTATCTACCACGGGGCTATACAGGTGTGTTCCCCCCGTGCCTCGCATGCTAGCTAACCTCGGATCTGCAATAGCCCCCCCCAGGTTAAGCGGACGAACGCCGCCCCCCGCCCGGCCCCTGTAGCCCATTTCCCCCGTTGTAGTTACAGACTTGTTGAAATCCCCAGCGTTCGCAGGCTCGCTCCCCGGCGCCTCCTTACGAAGGCTCAAACCCTTGAAGTTAACCAGTGACCCGTCGCCTTGTAACGCGGATTTCTGCGGGCTGGCGGGTCGGAACTGTCCGGGCAATTTCCGGCCGGCAAGGGAACCCCTGGGGCTCTTGGGAATGCCTCCTCCTGCAGGTAAACCGAGTCCTTCGTTGGATCCTCTGGCAGGCGACCGCTGCTGGATCGGATTTGGCTGGGCGGGCGGGAGAACCGACTGTTGGTCTTCCAGGTATTGCGCTAACCTGCTGCCGCTGCCTGCTCGCCTCATTCCTTGGGACGGCGCTCCTGCCGCCGCTCCCCCTGCTACGGCTCCCCCTGCTGCTACTCCCCCTGCCGTTCCCTCGTCTAATGCCTCCCTGGCGTCTCCTGCTCCTGCTGCTGATGCCGCTCTCAGTTCTGCTCCTTTAATCCCTCCCCCACCGCGTGCGGCGGCTGCTGCTGTTAGCGCCGCCACGCCGACTGCCCCTCGCTGCTGCTGCGCGGCCCTCCGCTGCACCTGCTGCATGGTCCTCTTCGAGTCCATTTCGCCAATCGTAACCGATCGCGAAAGCATATCGCCAGCGTCACCGCGGCTCGTCTGCCTGTTCGCGAGCCCGTGGTTACCACCAGGAGCTGCGACACCGCCTTTGGCCACAGGACTCCCGTACCTGCCACTTGCAACGGCAGAGACGGCGCTACTAGCGCTGACGCCCGCGTTGCTAGCGTTAACGACTCTACCTGAAATTGACGCGTCGCCAGAGGATAGAGCAAGGGCTTTAAGACCGATCGCGCCGGGCACCACTCCCCGAGCTGGCTTCACCGGGGTGCCCTGGAACCTGGGCTTGCACCCCAGCGTCATCGACCGGCCGAACTTATCCGCCTCGTTTTCTGGCTCGTCGTCGTCTTCGTCATCGTCGTCGTCATCGTCATCGTCATCGTCTTCGTCGGTTTCGTCGTCATCGTCGTCCCCTGACGACGCGCCGAAATCGCTCGCGCGAGGAGGTGCAGCTCGTTGCTTCTTCTGCTCGTGCAGCTGCTGGTGAGACTGTGCCTGCAGACGCTGTGATCTTAGCGGGGAAAGCCCGACCTCCCCCCGCTGTAAGCCCAGCATGGACGGCGTAAACCCTTGATGCAAAGTGAGCGCGCCCTTCCCGTCAAGAAGCGATACCGTGCGATTGATATGCGACGTCAGGCGCTCCGACTGCTGCTGCTGCTGCTGTTGCTTCTGCAGATGCAGCTTTTCCGCGGCCGTAGACCGTTGGATCAGCAGCGACTGCACGCGATTGTATCCAATCCCTGCCGTCGTATCGTCGATGTCCGCGCTCACTGATCGACCTTTCTTGCCGGAAAAGTTCGCGGCCTTATGCCCGCCGCTGTTGCTGATGCTGCTGATGCCGGAAGTAGCTCGGAGGAGTCGCGTGTTTTGCGGCGACACGTCGAAGAGCGACGTGCGACGCGAAATGGTCGGCTCTCGGTCGAAGGTCGGTTCTTCTGGCGTGGAGCTGGTGATCCGCGCGCTGCTCGCGAGTTGAGTCGACCCCTGAGATGAACTCATCATGCCTATTTTAAGAACCTATCTTTTCGTTTCAGCTGTGAGTTCCAATTAGTGGGAGTATACTGCGGTGATGGTTTGAAAGGGGTAAGAAAGTACTAGCTTAGAACCGCGACCTACGGGATTGTGTCCGTCGCACAAACGCTTTAACTGACATGCATTCAGAATGATTTAGGTTAGTGGACCATGGTCCCAGCGGTGGCAACTAAAGCTGGCCATTACCATGAACAACTACCGGGAGGCTAAGATACGCGAAAACCACGAAGCAAGGAGTCGCTGCAACAAGAATCGTCTTCGACGCCCTAAAACCTTCTAGATTGCGCACGCATCTACAGGTTCCCGCTCAATCGCGTGATTCTGCACAGCTGACAGCAGGTTAGCTGTCGCATCGCTGTCCTGTCACGAATAAAGAGGCTGGTGTGGTATGTCCTGGCGCTGAGGATTGCGATTCTTGTTATGGCGGCGACAGAAATGCTGGCACAGACATGCAGTGGTAGGTGGGTGGGTTGAATACTGTTCTGCGTGGAGAGTTGAAGGGGACGTGGTGCTTTGTTAGCATGAATGAGGTTGGACTCGACGCTTCAACAAGCAATAAGAACCACCTAGTACCGTATCTGAGCACTCTGATAATACCCAAACCATCTGGAACCCATTGTTTGAACCTGGGGTCCTCACCTCAAGCCCGCTTTCGTCTCGAATAATAAAAAGCGTCACATTCTTCTGAGCTGAGTTGTGTTCCCATTCCAAGGTTGACGGACATCGTCAGAGGGGTTGGCTTGGGTTTCGTTTGGGCGGGGGTGAGGTGGCCATAGGGAACTCCACTCCTGATTCGCTTGCAGCGACAAACTTGCCCGAGTGGGCCACAGTCACACGTGCCTAGTGTGCCCCCTCTGGTGACACCCTTGGCGGGGGGAACAGAAGCGATGCGGGAGAATTTCAATCTTGTGGGTGTAGCAGAACGGCCTAGTAGCGAGGATGAGAGCGGAAAACGTGAAAAACAAATCTATAGAAAGATGCATTTGAAGGAGAAAACGCTACGGATAATGGCAAAGATGTTTAGCTAGAGCGCGAGTTTGGTGCGTGATTCGACGAGCGCGGGCTTATTTAACGAGTGACTCAGAGCGTGTCCTTATGACCCTCTTATCAGGATGACTCTTATCAGACTCGCGCGTCACTGAGCAATGCAAGCTTGATGCAAAGTGGTTAAATGCGGTGTAGAACTGTTGAACGCTTGGAATTCTCGTCACACAGGCGAATGTTGTGAGTCTGATAAGTGTGAGCCTGATATGAGGCTCGTAGGAACATGCTCTCAGCACTGCTGACGTGCGTCGTATCCGCAAAATATGCAACGGGCAAACAAGCGATACCAAGACGGAGGTTGTGTGTTGGTTGTAAGACAGCTACACGTCTGCCCCGAAGGGAATGCGTCCACTTGCTTGTGATCTCGAACTCTCAGCCATGGGCCATCCTCTCCCCTGCTCCAGCCAACCAGCCATGTGTCGTGGCACTAGGATAACCCTGTCGATCCTCTCTCTATCTCTAGGGAGGGTAATGGGGAGGCTTTCATCGGGGAAGGTAGATATATGGAGCCTAACCCTCCTGATGACATCCCTTCTTGTCCCCGTGGTTTGGACTGGTGACTTTATGACTCCATGGCCTCCCTAGAGCGCGTCCAATGGCCAACGGTCTTCCGTTGTAATCACACTGCCAATCGTCAGACAGTGTGGAGCAACTTCGAGTTCCTTTTACGCGATGATCGGGTAGTACACGGTAAGTTACCCCATTGCCTTTTTCTTTGGTTTACTCTTTGGTTTGCCTTTGTTGTGTGCAACTCCTCAAAACCCCTTTGCTGCCCCAACTTCCACTGTGCTCAGGACCGCCGATCTGCCTTTCATCCTCAAATACTTTTGCTGCCAAGCTGCTCTCACCTCTCGTTTTCATAATTATTTTATCCCTGCTGGAGCTTCTCCACGCCCGTGCGCTGCTCTGGTAAGTTCCCTGTTCCTGCCTTTCTGTCCGTCTGCTCACCTGCCTTCTTACCCAACCAGGCGGTTGTAAGCGTCGTCTCCTCCATGCCTCACTTCTCCTGTCCACCTTTACCTTGCTCGCATGTCGTCATGTTTCAGCCGCTCTACTGCACTTACGTGGATCCTCTCGATCCACGCTTTCTCATTCGTAAGCAAAGAACGCCCTTTCCTGCATGTGTTCATAACCCGGGTTGCCACTTCGGCTCCCAGTCAGCCAATGCCCACGTTCCCATGCCTCGCGACCCGATCTGCCTTGACAGAATGCGGCTCGATATTTCCTTCGTTCCACCCTTCTGGCTGAGGAAGAAGAGTTCACGAAATTCGTGGATTCCCTCCGGCCGACACGCCGCCCGTGTCCTCCTGTGGGAATCGCGCTGCCCCTTCCTCGCAACCGTCACGTGCTGGTTTCTATCATTATGCACGATGCCGGTGCGCAGGCGATCCGCCCTGACGTCATCTTCGGACTCTCGGGGATGATCCATGGCCACATGTTCCCGAACGGTATCCTGCCCCAGTTCGAAGCTTCCTCTGGGGAGCCACCGTGCCTTCCCTGCTGCACATACGTGAGGCTGGTCTTCTCCTGGGCCTCTGCCAGCAACGCTGCTGTTTTCTGTCGGCTCTTCCCCGTGAACCTGCGTATCTCAGACAACCGTTACGTGCTGCTGAAGCTGTTCGAGGATCCCATTATGTGCTCCTGTCAAGACAATATCGCCGCCTTCAACTTCTTCAACTCAACCTGCAAAAGGAAATGCAATCATTAATTGCATGATTGGACCACACTGGTCTAGTGGTATACGCTACTGGAGCCGACGAGACAATGAAGACAGCGACAGTGACATGGAAGAAGGACTAGCCAACCAACCTCCTCGTCTTCGTCCTCGTTTAGAAACTCCAAAACCAGCAATCGTTAATGAAGAAGAACCAGAGTAGCCTAACGGCTTTCCTCGATGATTGAACGTGTTGCCTTACGCCCACATCGCCCCGAGCATGTTAACTGTCGCAAAACTGGTTTGCTTCCCATTTCTGCAACAGAGGTTTAAGCTAGTGGTTTTGGAGCATAGCCGTGTAGCAAGACAGGAGGGAGTGGTGGTTCGCAAGGATGAAGGTTCGATAGGAGCCAGTTCGAACCGAACCATCAAGATATACTGAGGAGGAGGGACGATGGGGTGACTCCAAGGTGACGAGATAGCAGTGTTCTAATTGGGCGAGGGGAGGGTAATGGGCAAGACCAAGGGATCAGGTTGGGAGGCGTCTGGAGGAGCTTGTAGAGGAGTGTCGTGTGCATGCTTGCGAATGTGTACCATAGCATGGAATGCCTAAAGCGGTCGATAGGACGGGGATCTGTCCCGCTTCACAGGATCCTTTGCCTAGTAGTAGTAATTGTACATAGGGTAGCTGCTAGCACTCAGAATCCTATTCGCTAGTGGGCAGACAGTATCAAACATCACCGAAGATCACTTGTGAGGAAGTTGAAGGAGCATAGAAGGAAGAGCAGGGGAGGGAGCAGACGGTCCAGGGGAGCCTTTAGGATGCCATTTGCCGACATAACACTTGGTTTCTTGAGAGCTGCTGCGGTCACCACATGGCGTCTTCAAGTCGCTATCTCCTCAACTGGCGAGATCTGCCAAAAGGAGAAAAATACAACATTACCGTGGCCAACACTCAAGTTATTGAAGCGACCACAATTTGAGATGTGATACTAGATTCTGATGACACAGAAGTTTCACTACACCTTAATAAGGTTCTCATCGCCACAGGGCTTGGCTTCAACTTGCTATTACAAGCACAACTGATGGAAAGTGGCACCTTTTTCGTCAGCACCGCCAACACGATGCTCACAGAGTTGTACATGGGCGATAAGAAGGAAGACAAACGCAATTTAGTCGGCATCACAGAAATCGAAGACAATGTTTTTGTTTTACAGTTCTTCTATGTGAAAGCATCTGGCGACAGTAAGAAGAACGTCTCACTTGCTCCTTGGCATCAACACTGGGAAACGGATCTCCAACGCCAAGACCATTGTGTTCTCAATTTCTTCTACGTCACGCCTCAGCCTTCTCGCACCAACTCCCTCGACGATCCTTCAGCATCAGCAGCAGCATAACAGTTCAAGCTACATGGGCATATGGAGATGGAAATTGGGGTCACGAAAATCAAGTATCGACATCTGCTACAGTCGAAGAACCTATGGAAGTTGAATGCACATAGGGCAAGAAAGAGTTAATCGTACCTGATGCTTGGGCGCGTCGCTGACACCTCGGCATACCTTGGGCTGAAACTGCATAAGAAGTCGGATTCATCCAGCCTTTTGGCACCGTCTGCTGCGTTAACCCTGCACCAACGATTCATATTTCGCCGGCCTTCTTCCTCCACGAATTTTAAGAGGAGGGTCGAGAGGTCTTCCACATGGATACCAACCTGCGCGTGGAGAAGGAGCATGCTGAAAAGGGAGCTGTTGTCTTCTGCCACCTCTTCTCTAGTCGAGGTGTAGACCTGAAGGGTTGCCTTGTCATCATGAAGGACCTTACTAATACAGTTCTTGATGATAACTTTGCCAGCATCGACCTCAACGGGCAGTCGTACGCCCACATCACGAAGAGGAACTATTCCTATGATGTAAGTACTTGGTTTCTCGACAGCTACGGCAGGCACCATATGGCGTCGTCTTTTCGATACCTCCTTAACTGGAGGTCGCTTCTAGAATCTGATAGGTATACGATCACAATGGCAAACAATAAGGATACGAGGATAATAGAGTTTCCTTACAGTATATTTGAACAAGGTACTCATTGTCGATAACCTCTGCTTCGACCTCCTCTCTCAGAGGTAGTTGATGGAAGGGCCGACTTGTACCTGAGTTCAAAGGGACACACTACAGCAAAAATCTGGCACATGCGGTTAGGTTATCCCTCGCAAGAAGCTATTAACAATTCAATTAATGCCTCGGTTTTCGACAAGGACGCTCTCCTTTTAACCAACGGCCAGGAGCTTCGACCTAGCAGTCGACAATCACCTTCCACCATCTGCCCCGAAGCTCCCCTAAGTCATGCTCCATTCCTGTCACACTTTCCGAGTGCTACTACAGTAAGTACTCACCTATGGACGTCATTTTCCGCGACATACTCTTCATGCTGCAAGAAGCAGAGGATATCAACGACCACGATTATCACTATATAATTACCTTCATCGACGGTGCTACTCAATATGCCTGGCACAAGAATATCTCTCACAAGTTTGAAGCTCTTGATGCCTTCAAACTATGGCTAAAAATGGCGGAGCGGCAGAGCGGCATCAAACAGAAAGGAATCCACACAGACAACGCGGGCGAGTACACTAGAGAGCAGTTCGATGAATTCTGGCGCAGAAAGGGATTCTAAGGCACAAGAATATGCCTTACGCTCTCCAGCAGAATGGAGTAGCTGAACGGACGAATAGAAGACGGCAAGAGAAGATGCGCGTGCTGCTGCAACAGTCCAACTTGACAGC